AAATAGAAAAGAAAGAAAAAATAAGAATATAGTAAAGAAAAAGAAAAGAAATATATAAGGAAATGACTTCCCTTTTCATCACTACAAGTATAAACAATTTTAGTAACTTATCACCTTCTCTTAAAATATAACAAATGATCTCTTCTTCCCATATCCTATCTCTTATCTGTAAAAAAATCCTTAAAGCCTCATTGTTCAGTCCTGATCAGCAAAAGTCCATTAAGGGTTAGAAAAGGTAACAACATATTTATTTTAACCTTGATCAAATAAACCAATTTTATATTCCTTCCTTTTACCTTTAACAATCTTGATCTTTAGTCCCTTCAAATAATGTCCTAGAACTTGATTTCTTTTCATTTCTTCTTTGTCCCTTTTCACAAAATTCTTCAAAGCTTTAACAAGCCTCTTTTGTAAATCCAATATAAGAAAATTATCTGAGTCTCTCATTTCTTCTTTGTCCCTTTTCACAAAATTCTTCAAAGCTTTAACAAGCCTCTTTTGTAAATCCAATATAAGAAAATTATCTGAGTCTCTCTCTTGGTTTGTTATTTGTATATCCCTTTTAATTATTAAGATCAGCTGGTTTCTTTTGTATATGCAGTGTAGCATTTTTCCCATATCATTCTAGTAGCCTGTCATTTTTAAATCCACTTTCAGATCAGTCTCAATCTTGTCCAGTAAAACTTGTTCCTCTTTCATAACATCTTTGAAACATTGTCTATCTATAGAGGTAGACACTCATAAAAATAACTTATGGGTCCATTGTTCAAAAATATCCTTCAATATATTGAATGTTAAAATATTTTGCTTCATCCTGTATTAGTAAGTCAAATTTAAGTGTTTCTCTCCTTTAATTGTAATGTTTTGTTCCTTCTGGTTCCCTCTAGTGTCCAACCTTCAAAGTCTCAACCTATCATGTATTTTTTAAAGAGAATTCAAAACAACAGCATTTTCCCACAGGAAAGATTCTTATAATTAATTTCAAATCTTGTTTCAAATCCATCAGGAGCCTTAGTCCATTTGTGACTTTCCAAAATCAATGTTCTAATCACCCTTTTGCTATTTATTCCAAAAGAAAAAAAAATTAAGTCCTTAAACTTGTATTTAAAACTTTTACTAAGAATTGAAGGAAACTCAGGTGCTGTAAAACGTGTTGATCCAAAGGTTCCTAATAGCTGAAAAGCAGTTAATAAGAATTTCTGAAAGTGATTAAAAAAGGAAGTATGCAAACCCAGTGTCCTTTTGAAGGCACCAACCATGGTTTGAGCAAAAAGATGGCTATTCCCTCATCTCCCAGAGCTCTAAACCAGACCAAGACTGCTGTCTTGTGGTCTTCTTGCAAGGAGCAACTGTATGGAGCACTTGTGGGTGATCTTAAGTCCTCTCCTTGTTCAGAGAGGAATTATGAAGAGCCAGTCTACTCTCAAGCTCTTTGTCAGGTTCAGCCCAAGAACAGCAATGAGGCAATCCAGTACAGTTCAGTTCCTTTATTATCTCACACTTAATAGACAAAATCTTGCCAGACTAAACCTATGCTAAAGCAATTAGTGGATATAACCCATGAGAGTCTAAGGAGGGGCCAGCCTCATCCTCTTCGTCTTCCCACACTCTTGCTGTAGGCTGAGGAGGCACTTGCCCTGGAATGTCTCTCCCCCCTCCTGACAACCTTGAAGTTCCATTCCAGAATCTTCCCCACTCATGCCATCATTACACTCTTCATTCTGCTGCAGTCATTGGAGCCATCCTCAGTTCGCCATTTATTTCCTGGAAGTCCTTCCCAGTTCTATTAATGATTCTTTATCTCCTCTCCCTCTCCCTCTCCCTCTCCCTCTCCCTCTCCCTCTCCCTCTCCCTCTTTTTTCCAGTTCTATTCCTGATTCTTTCCCTCTCTCATCCCCAACAACCCTGGGTCTCTCTCTGTCTCTCTCTGTCTCTCTGTCTCTGTCTCTCTCTCTCTCTCTTCCTCTTCTTCTCCCTGCATTAACAGGCAATGACATTGGCCTCTTTTATGATTTGAAAAAGTTTGGCAGTGCTGCAGAATAAAACTGCAGCTGTGCTTGACATCTTTGTTTTTCCAAAAAGCCTTGAGGCGAGGGAGAAGGAGAAGCAGGATATGCCAGAAACTCTGCTCCATTTAAAACAGAAAAAAGTAGAATATAGCACTAAATTTGGGGGTGTTTAGGCTGTGGGGTATAACCCCATGAGCCTTGGACCTGGCTGTGTGACCTTAGTGGCACCTCTAAAGGGGTGAGCCTGAAGGCTTTGCAGAACATTGGCAAGTGCTCCCTATTTCCAGGAGACCAATCTATTTTTGTCTTGCTGTATTTTGCCTTGTGAGGAGACTTTCCAAAGGCCTGATTTAGTCCAGGAAGCTCCAATTGCGGTTTCCTAGTTTAACATGTTAACACAGGGCCACTATTATCTCTGAGAAAGGAGAGTATTTTACTGAACAAAAGCAGTCACCTTCTGGAAGTGATTAGTCGTGGGGTGGGGAAGGACTTGGGGCAAAAATAAGTTTTCCATTTTTTTCAGTGACTGTGTGTGCGCGCAAGAGAGAAAATGTGTGGGTGAGATAATGCCTATTTCTGTACTTTCTATCAACAATTCAGTCCCTGTTTAAACTGCAAAGCCGACAGCTTTGCTTAACAATTCATTATGGTTATAATTAGTTCCAACCCAAGAGTTCATTGTGGATGGGAGAAGACATAATGGCCATGCTGTTACACATCTTTCAGCATGAGAACTTATTTGATGCAATAGCCCAACTTGAAAGTTTCCTAGGTTTTTTTTTTTTAAAGCATGGACTATGACTAGCAATACACTTATGACAACATACACAATGCATAAAAATGAAGACTTTCACTAAGACAAGACAAGAGAAAAGACAAGCATTAGGCAAAACACTAGAAACACATGTTACTACATCAGATTATTTCTGAAAGTGTTTTTAGCTTTCCTCACCATACTACCAAAAATCCTGAAATATTTACTGATCATTCATCTTCTTGGTAGCTCAAGTTACAACAGGTTACAACAGCAAAATATGCCTTCTGTCTATGGACTGCAGTTGAAAGGACAAACACAAAGTCAACAGAGGCATAACACACTCCACCAGGGCCAGGATTTTCCATGTTGGTGAAGGCTGAGAGGTTGGGTTTAATGAATTAATTAATTAGACAACTTTTATAACATCAATTCTGCTAAATTCTTATGTTAGAGTTTATACTACAGTTTGGATGTTTCCTTACCTCAGAATCATAGGAAATTATAGGATACTGGAGCAACCTGACTCCGTATTCATTGTCTTCAGCATTGTGATGGAATGATGTTATGAAGGCCACACTCAGGGAGATAAGTGTTTCCTTAGCCCCCAACAGGAG